ACATCAAGATGTACTTTAAAGGCAGCTTCTTGTCCTTCTTGAGATGTTGTTTCAGTATTTATGCTTTTATGTCCTAAGCTTTCAAAGCCATGATATCATACCACTATCTTGTATTTTTCAAATTGCTTAAAATCAGTCATCTTAGCTATAACAAGAGAGTAAAAATTTCTCAAGAACAATAACTCTTTTGTTAAGAAATTTGCAAATGGAAATAGTATTCGCTATGAGGAAAAACTATTTGCATTTTCACCATTGTGTGTAGGATCTGGTTGCCTGGGTTACGGTGGGCTTCCTACATGTACCTCATTCAGAAGACATCCCCAACACGGCAACACCTGGCAACGCGGTGGGCTTCTTCCTTCGACCCTTCAACTTCTTCAATGAAGATCCCTCTCTAGCATCCAAAAGCACCGTCATCGTCCGGCCGGGGCAGGACGGCAAACCTAAAGTTCAGAGGTGGACACCGGAGGTCGTAGGTCACTGTGTGACAGACAAGCCATTCTTTTACAACGGAACCTACGCTGGAGTTTAGAAGTGTAGAGTGTGACATAGCGTCACACTGTACACTATGTTTGTCAATGCTGAAGGAAAAAAACAGGAATCAGAATTATAATGCTATGTGAGTAGGAAAGCACCATGTGAGTTCAGTCCATAATCCCTGAGAATGTGACAACTCTTTAGACGTGTTCTATTTACTTTCTGTTTTCTTTTTTCTTTTTTTATACATTTTTGGCAAAATATTTTTCAAAAGGAAAACTTGATCAACGACTCATGTTGTGTAAAGTTTTAGACAATAGAACACTGCATGTTGAATTTAATCTACACCGTCTTTGTATGTTTGTCATGTTCTTTATTTTACCATTGCATTTAATAGTTATTGTACCTACTGTTAGGCAGGTACTGTAATGCAGCTACTGTTAGGTTGTGTATTTTTACTCTATGACAGGGTAGGGTACAAACATGATGGTATAAGAAGCTAAAAGATACTATGAGTTGACATTTGGGAACTCTTTTAATCCCGTATTGGGTCTCCATGGATGAGCTTTAGTAACGGTGAGCATCCAGGATTCAGGATCCTCCACATCCGCCCTGCCTGGTGTAAGACTGCTGGCCCCCCACCCCCTCCACTCCCTCCATCCCTCCTGGACACCCTGCCTGCCCCCATGCCAGGAATGTTTTCACTGGAGACACATCAGCGGTTTGAAAAGCAAACAGTGTGATTCCGGATGCTTCCAAGCAAACACATCAGGATGCCACCTGGTTGTGCTGTTGCCCCTGGAAACCAAAGTTTTACTGTGCAGAGCATAAAAGGCACATACAGCAGCTCTGTACCTCATGTGTGCATGTATTCCTAACTTTGTACTTTCATGACAAATTAAACTGTCTTGATCTAATTGCATATTAAATACGTGAACTACCTTGTATATGATTTCAAGGTAAATTTTGGTCTTTTTTGCTGATATTGTACTCTTCAGAACACAGAGCCAGTCGGTTGGGCTAGAATGGATTTTGTTGCAGCCAGATGGATTGTGAGAAGAGTAAACATTTTGTGCTTTGGAATAAAAGAATCCTCCCAACAGCTTCTCACAATCAAACAACCTTTTGTTTTTTATAAGTGTGTGCTGATGTTTTACAGTGTGCACCATAAAAGAGGGAACAGTCAGAGAGCTGTCTGTAGACAGACCATACCAGAACAGGGGGAAGAGGTGACATGGGTAACAGTCATTCCAAAAGATACCCCCACGGCAACTGTGATGTTGATGTCAGGAAAAATTGTCATAAAAATCTGGACTGCAGGGTTTTCTGTATTGATTCAGCCTCAGGGTGAGATTTTTTCATCTCCGTGGGGCGTTTTAGTGACTTCATTATTATACGGGCCGTCACTATTCATTAGAAATCTCATTAACATTGCTTTTATTTCAAGTTCTGATTAGATTTCTCTTTATTTGCATACTTACAGAGTGTATTTTTTCTCACTTAAAACCACATAGACAAGCACCAAATATTACAAAAATAAATGTGACAAATGCATTTAGTATTTTAGGAACTGTATGTGCAGAATGAGAAACTCCTCTGAAGCTCAAAGAAAGGTTCCAGCCATCTAGGTGCTGCCATCTAGTGTTCATGTTTCACCAGGTGTCAGCTTAGATTTTCAAATCCAAAGTTCAATTAAAAAGGCATGAATATGTTTTAACATTTAGCATTGTGTTCCTGCTCATTTTAAACCAATTCTAGATTACATTTATGTCTTCATTTACCCATAATAAGACATAATACATTAATTTTATCTGAAATATGTCAAGCCAAGTTTCTATTGCACAGCTACGCAACAAGCAGATCAAAGTGCCTTATATGATAAAAAACACAATACAGTAACCAAATATCAAACAGCAATAAACATGACATATTATCAAATGTCTTTGCTTGAGGTGTGGAAGGAGAAGTCAGTCTGTCAAAAAAAAAAGAATCTCCAGCCATATGAGTTTTAAGATGCTGAATAACTATTGAAATATAAACCTCATGCATTACAGAAACTGTATGTAGAAATAGTTTCCACTGAGTAATGTAAATCTCAAGAAGTAACGGTGTGAGACACACAAACTAACTACTGAGCCAAAAATAAGAAGCTGAAGTCTTCCTATTTGTGTGATCTCATTTCCCTCAGGTATCTCTAAATCTGTTTGCTCTAAAACCACCTGAGAACATTTAGTGAATTTGTGCCTGAAACTCCAGATCTCTGTCAAGTTATTTAAATAATAAAAGTTATATTCAAAACAGTCCTTAACTTTTGATCTTTGCTACACGTTGGCTAACGTTAGACAGGCCCCTTTTATACACCAGTTAGAGCTCAGTGTAGTGAATGCTGAGTTGACTCATAACATATTTTTGTTTTGCTGAATTAACCTTGGACTGGGTTAGCAAAGTACCCAGTTTGGATTGTTGTTGACTCAAGAGTTTTAAGAGTGTATGGTCAGCAGAGAGTTCTGGTGAAATGGAGGGGGTGGTCTGAACCAGGAAGTAGTCGGAGAATGTGAAGGACTTTCAAATGAAACCCCTTTTGAATTTCACTCTGGTTAAAATACAGGAAAAAGAAATAAGGTGCAAATTCACATTGAGTGACAACCTGGCTGAGCAGCAGAGTCCTGCTGGGTGACGGGGTGAAGTCAGCGCAGCTCTTCAGAAACAAATGTCATTTAGTTCATTACAAAATCTGAAAACTCCTAAGAAATGAAGTACAAAACTTCCTCTTTTATTGTTCCTTCAGAAAACTGAAGTGAACTGAACTGACAGGCAAACTGTGTATGAGTTTAATATACGCTGTATGTACAGGATCTATATAGACAATCATCCATATGTGTGAATGTGTTTAACTAGTCAAAGGTGGAATGGTAGCCAGGAAATGAAAACAATCATAAAACACAATCAAATTTCTAAAATGTCTTAATCAAAATGTACAGCAGCATGCATGAAGAGCTAAAAAAAACAGCTACAAAAGTATTTGTCCTGTTGTGTTAAAGTTAAATATGAAGCATTTCAGTGTAGACATCACTCCGTCTTAGTTACTGGTTCAAAATGTTTTAATATTGGTGTTAAAGGGAAATAAGAATGAAGCATTTTGATAAATTTGGTGATTCTTTCTCAGAAACTTTCCAGTAGATTTTAACCCAACTTAAACTTTTTTTAAATGGAAGATATGTCAGTTAACTTGAGGCCAAACAAAGTAACATCTTAACTGACGACTCAATCTGGAGTGACTGGAAAAGACTTCTAGTATATGAGTGTTTCTATGGACAGTGTTTTTCAAACAAATATTATTAAAAGTATGATTTTGCTCAAAATCAATTTAAATATGAGAATGTAAAATAATATGTTCTAACTCTTCTCAACCTTGTTAAGTTTCAATGTTTCAGTTCCCCATGGTCAAAGTTAAAAAGTGGAACCTTTTCTGTCGGTCTGATGAATCGTTGTTTTAAATGTGCAGAGCAGAAAAGGGAAGAGGAGCAAACATTTTCAGAAGTAAAAACCAAAAGAAGCAGTGAAGATAAAAAATAAAAAAAAGACGTGACTCAAGAAGTAACTCAAGTAAAACAGAGAAGCTGGAGAGCCATTGCCTTATCACACCACAATGATGGTTTCAAACTGATGCTGTGGGCTTGTAAGCACCACAGGATGGAGTGAGAAGCAGCTGGCCTCATCGCAATGCACTTTTTTTTTTTTTTTTTTTTTTTTTTTTGTAGGTGAGGTAGAAGCTATGCTGTGTTTCCATTTACTTTAACTTCTTTTTATTTGGAGCTCTGTGTTTCGTCTATTGAATCCAGTCTAATGTTACACTCATAATGTCTAATTGGTTAAAAATCAGCACAAGAATACAAAGCAGCTTTATCTAAGCATGTTTGACTTTAGCTTATTGTGTTACAACCAGCCTCTGTGTCTGTGGACGCTTCCACATCATACGGGGTTACGCTGCAACATGCCACTCAGTTTCAGTGATGCTTTATTAAAGAAATAAATTTAAAAAAGCAGATTTCTGTAACATCATTTGACCTTTGTTTTGTTCAAAATACAACAGAGATGTTGAAAAAAGATATTACTAAATTTCTTCAGGTTATCTACAGGAAAACAAATTGTTTGGTTGTTAACGTCTCTCTCCTAACACATACATTTTTAGAGTAGAACAAATATGCACACCCACAGAGTAAAAAATAAACTTCCTCCTCCAGTGAAAGGCGGAACATTCGGTTTCTTGAGGTATTCTGTAGACAGAGGGACTTTCTGTGGCTCAACTGTTCCCAACAACTTTTGATACAAATATATTTGGTAAGAAAATCATTTATTATACTGGTTTTAAAATGTAGTGTTTTAAAACTGAAACATTTGATTGATTCCCCCCTCTTTTCAGAACTGTTACCTTAAAGTCTTAACATTAACTTTGATAAAAGGAGCTTGTAGAACATGACAGTTTTCTTTGGGAGTCTGTGCTTTAGGTGAAAGATCAATATTTTAAAAAATACAATTGAAATGGCTGTAGAAGAACCTGATGTTTTGAAAAATGTTTTAATGTCAAACTCTTTCCTTCATCTTGTCTCTGAGCTGATGGAGGGATGTAGCAGTGAGATGGCAGCTTTCTCTCAGAATATGCTGACAGTCAGCGTGTTACTGAGTGTCTTCTTTCTTCCAGGTGAGCTGTTTGTTCTCTCACTGTCATTTGGAGACATTACTGGAAGTATTTCTAGTCTCCAGTGTGTCTGATCTTGTTTAAAGTAACAGGCTGCAGCTCAGCTGGAGTTCATGAATCAGGAAGTTTCTCTTCAGGAACATTTTGCTCCACATTGTGTCCATCTTTACTCTGCTTTTTCAGGAGTTCAGACTGGATGTAAAAACAAAGACCCAGCCCTCATCATTACTGCACCAAAGGAGATGGAAGCTCTCAATGGATCCTGTTTGCTAATCCCATGTAGCTTTAGAGAAAAACCAGAGAAACCAGGAGAAAAGTTTGACAACAAGAGAGAAATATTTGGAGTTTGGATTAAAAGTGATTCAGCATTTGGAAACAATCCAAACAACGTGATTTACAACAGCAGTCGGTCACAAAACAGCTACGCAGTGAACATTTCTGGAAACCTGAGAGAGAAGAACTGCACCTCTGTGTTTTTTAATGTAAACTCAAGTCAAACAAAGCGTTACTTCTTCAGGATTGAGAACTGGCTGTTCAGAGGAACAGCTTCCTGTGATCCTGTTAATATAACAGTTAGAGGTGAGAGACTTTGGTTTATATTTATATGTAATATTAATATTGAGAGAAAATTTATTATGATGCCTTTGTGGTATAACAAAAAACTCCATGAATTGAATCATTAGTGTAAAGTTAAACATCAACAGCATCAGAGTTCAGAGTTAAAGAAAGCAATTTGTCAGCACAAAGTGGGTGTTTTATCTAAATTTACTTTTCAATGAGTTCTTACCTTCATATTTATCATCTTTTTACGCTCCACATGTTTAAAGTGGAGTCAGTCTGCTGTATCTCACTGTTTAAAATGTGTGTGTGATGTGAAAACACAGATTCTGCTTGGAGCCCCAGGATTGAAATCTCAGGTGACGTGAAGGAGAAGAACTCTGTCACCGTAACGTGCTCAGCTCTCACTCCCTGTCCATATTCACCTCCTGAACTCACCTTGAACCTCCAGCCAAACCCTCACAGACAGATGGAGAGGAACACAGATGGAACGTTTACAACTACAATCCAGCAGAAAATCACTCTGTCAGGCTCAAATGATGTTTCCAACATCACCTGCTCTGTCAGATATCCTGTGAATGGAGGAAAACACAAGACAGCAAATACAGAAGTGACTCTCAGTGTTTCCTGTAAGTGATCCTGTCAGAACATCATGATTCATCTGGTTCTCATCAATAATCTGAAGGTGTGTTGCATTTTCCTCAGATGCTCCTAAAAGCACCTCAGCATTTAACTGGGTGGAGCTGAACTGCTCCAGCAGAGCCAGTCCTCCCATCAGCTGCATCACCTGGTCCAAGAACAGCACTTATAAAGCCATGATAGTAGCTGAAGGAGACGTCAGATTAACCGTCTATGAGGGAGAAGTCGACTGCCGTAACGTCTCTGATAAGTTCTCTAAAGGTTTCCTCCCTTCTTTGCATCTGCAGTATATGTTTCTGTCTTAAATTATGAAGCTAATGTTGCAGTTAAACATGGAACCCAAGTGAAACTTACTTTAGACTTTTGATAAGTAATTTGTTTTTTCTATGCATTTTTATATATAAAACCTTATAGATTACAACAGTTCAGTGAAACACATTAATGTTCACATAAACCTGTCTGAATGATCTGAACATCGAGACATTTTGTCATTGTCTTCTTGTTTCTTTCTTTTTTCTTTAGATAATCTGCTGATTCCCCTCATTACAGTGACTGTTGTCGTTGTGCTCATCTTCCTGGTTGTATGGTGAGTATCAGGAACTGACTCATATGATGAAATATGGCTCACCATTTAGAGGTTTTAGTTCAAATTTGCCTTAAAAAGAACTCAATGCTCTTCTCAATGTTCTGTTTGCTGCAATAAAAGTTCTTACTATTCTATTTATTATTTATTTTATCTACAGAGGAACTAAACCACCAGAGCAGAATTTAGTTGAAAAGGAAAAGACAGAAACACAAACTTTTTCTATCATCTGTAGAAAATAAATACAGTTCACACCTGAATTCTGAAGCTGACATTTTTTTCTATGTTGTCAGTAAGATTTGAAAAGTATTAATTCTGATATTTCATTTCTCAAAAAGTGTAGCTCTTGTTTACATGTTAGGCAATTTAGTTAGTAGTTTTTTCTTTCTTCTCACCTAAACTCTGTCCAAAAGAAGTTAATAGGTAACTGTTCTGCAAAAAAAAAAAAGAAACATTTTGCTTTCTGTGTGAAAATCAAAAACTTTTACAAAACAGAAGCAAAGTTCACCCTTATCTAAAAGAAGCTGAAAAGTGAAAGATTAAAAGCTGTTATTGTCAACCCGGTGTGGTCCAGTACTGCGTACCGCTAAATGAATCTCCGCCGGTACACAGAATTGGAAAACATCTGCAATAAAGCCGTCATTCAGAACGGCTGCTCTTTGAGTCAGGATAGATCTGCTAGCAATAGGGAATTTAAAACAAGATTTAATCTGTTTATAATCAGCTTTTTTCTCATTCTGGTTCATTTCTGAACTGTCCTTGCTGTGTGCTGGAGTCTCTCCCACTCCAGCGGTCCTCCTTCTCTCTCTGTCCTCTGCCCACTGCAATCTAATTCCAGAAACATAATGACAAAAAAAAATCATATATATACTATATATAGATTTTGAAAATCTGGTGATGAATCTGGTGATACATTTCACACAACATAAAATGTGTGAAATGTTGGAGACCCAAATGCAGAGAGCCAGAGGCGGCGAGTAGATTTTGTTGTTTTAATAAAAAATGATGAATAAAAAAATCACCAGGAACACAGGGAGCCAGAGCAGAACAAAAACAGAGGAACCAGGAACAAAAAAACTAGCAGGGTGAACAGGAAAATAACAGGGATAAAAAGGAGGAACCAGCAAGGAGTGACTGAGAATGAGTTATATAGATACAGGGGAGATTGATTTGTGAACAAGGAACAGATGGCTGATTAGAAACAGGTTGCAGGTGTGAGGGGAAAGCAGAAGGCAGGCTGAGGAGAGAGAGGGAGAAAATGGCACAGGGGGCGAGAGAGAACACAAACAGTAAATAGGAAAATTAATTTAACAAATAACTAAACATAAGGAACATGAAAGAGCTAAAATAACTAAAGGATTTAAGTAAACAGAAATAAAGCAGATCTAATAAAAAAAAGAGACTAACACAGAATAAACAAACCTCAAAAGAACCCAACGAGCCACGACACATTCATTTCATTATTATATTTGACCAAAACTTCACTTTACCGTTTTTGTTCATGTGTCTTGCAGGACAACCTCAACTCTCATCATATGCCTTCATGTTGTTCCTTCTATCACATGATTATTCTGACTACTGTTTAATATTTTCTAGGTTCTTGAAGTCCAGACGTACTGCTGTACAACACAATCAGGTAAATAAATAACATCTGATTGTGTTGTGATTGGACACAATTCATGAAAAGCATGTCATTAAAATCCTCCAGTATTCTGTTAAAACACGATTAACTAAATTTAAGCATGAACACATAAGAATCCATCATAGAGTAAATCTTCCTCATTGCCTTTTATTTATGTACATTTATTCCATGTGGAGAATATGCAATGCTAAGAAGTTTTCTGTTTAAATCAAATCACCAGTATGACATTCAATGACTCATCTAAAAATGCAAATTTTTAATAAGTGACTGAAATCTGACTTTTTAAAGTTTTAATCCATGACTTCCTATTTCTCTGGGATATAAATGTCATTTAATTTACCCTGAGGTCGCTTCAAAAAGGGAAACACAAGAGAACATGTTGTAACCCAGGAAACTGTGACTTGATATGTCCAGCCAAACTCTGTGCAACAAGTAAAACTTTAAACATCTCAAACTGTGACAAACTAGGCTGGATGAGCAAGGTGGCTAAAGCGACTCAACTTTGGGTGACAAAAATAGATGCATGTATTTTGGATTGATTTCAGATTAGAAGTGAATAACATGTTTTTCTTTATATTGTCCCACAGACTGAAGCACCTGAGGAGCCTGGTGTTCTTGCATCTAGTGATACAAAAATGCCATCATTAAAAGGCGTTCTTCAAACACCATCTAATGAAAGGCAGGAAGAACTTCACTATGGGGATGTGAACTTCATAAAGAAACCTTCCCGTGTCTCAGAGAGTACCAGTGGAGACCAGCAGGAGACGCTGTACTCCCAGGTCAAAGTGTCTGAGCCAAAGAACAGATCAGCTGACAGCTCAGATCCTCTCTACTCTACGGTACAGAAACCTGGCTGAAACTTACAGAAACTCTGTTCTTATTACTTACAGTTGGGGACAGGAGTCCTAACACAATAATAATGGGCTTGTTTATTTTTTTCAGATTTTTTTGTTTGTTTGTTTGTTTGGATGCTTCGGTACTGATGTGGTGTGAGAGTGATATGTATAGTTTGCAGGTTTTTGTACTTTAATTTATCTTCTGATCTTTGTTGTATTTTATTTTCATTATTTACTGCAAAGTAAGCAATTATCTCAATATTTGAAAATGTAATATTTACACTTAAATAAACAATGTCTAGATACAGTTTTTACATTTGTTTTATAGTGTATAATTTAAATTATTGTGCATGGTGGTCAATTTAAATGTGAATCCAAGAAATCATTACTGTTTAAACTTTACCTTTAATAACATAAAGTTACCTAATTTTTAAAGTGCAATCAGTAATACTTTTATAACACATTTATATCAGTAATCATTTCTTGGTTAATGTCAAGATGTCATAACAAAGACATTTTGAATAATGTCAACTTTGTATTAAAAGTGTCATAATTTACCGAATGATGCTTTATGACAACAGTCATAAATATTCATGAAGGCTTATTCATGTTCATGACAGGTGTTATGTCATGTTTATGACAGTGTCATGTCAGTCTTATTCAACCGCCTTCAAATAAAGTGTTACCAAAATAAGTTATGTAGTTAATGATCCTTCAGAAACCCTTAAAGTCCAATGCAGGCAGCAAAACCTCCAGGTTCCTTCCCTGTAGTGTTAGGCTACAGGTAGCCTTACACTGGCTTCCTGTAGCCCAGAGAATAGACTTTGAAATACCATAAGTTTATAAATCACTGATCGGTTTAGCACCACAACACATTAAAGATCTGTTGCTGTTGTATCAACCTTCCAGACCTCTCAGGTCTTCTGGTTCTGGTCGGCTTGGCATACACAGAACCAGAATCAAACAAGGAGAAGCAGCATTCAGCTTCTATACTCAAGTCTGGAACAAACTTCTAGAAAACTGAGTTCCTTTAAATTTAGACTAAATTTACTCAGTGTTCCTTTAAATTTAGGATTATTGGTCTAAAACTCAACCCGCCTGGTTAGAGTTGAATTTGAAACTCTAACCAGTTTAAAATGCAACTGGTTAGAGTTTCAAATGTTTCAAATTGATCATATAAAACATTATCAATGGAACATTAATCATCAACCTGATGTGTAACCATGGCACTTGACAAAATGTAATGTTTCACTTGTTGACTGTCTTCTATGACTTTGTATTTTTGTGTTTTTTTGATTTAAAACATTTTGAACTGCCTTGTTGCTGAAACGTACAGCAACAAAGAAGTCCAGTTTATTTCTGATTTCAATCAATCAGAAATAAACCTGATTGAATGATTGATGATTGATTCTTTCCTGGCTTCACTCCTTCAGCAGGAGACTCCTACAATGAACAGACAGAACCAGAACTCATAGATTGGCAAGTGGGAAATTAGCCTGACAAAAAGTGCTCTGAGTAACTCCTCCAGATGGAAAGTTCCAGAAGTGTCTTCCATTTCCTCCTCATTCTGTCTCTAAATGTCTTTCCTTTCCACCACACACTGGTTTTTGCCAGGGTAATCAACAGGGAAAGACTCATGTTTTAAATTAAAAGCACACAGCTGTAACTACATTAAAAACAACTAAAGAGTTTTATCCTGTGACAAATGTCTAGATGAGGGAGGTTAACTTCCCTCTGTCAGACATCATCCTCAGATTGAGATATAAAACGACTTCCTTCCATCTTAACACCACTTCCTCTATTATTAACTTCTCATTGTCATAATATGAAAAATAACTTGCTGCAGCTTGGCAACTACATGGCGCCTTAGCAAGAGACCCAAACAAAAAGTATACGAGGAGAGTCAGGAGATCACTTGACTCTTTCTCCTGGTTGTCCTAGAGTCTCCAGGACAGGTTGTGGGTCCCAAGATCCAAAGGTGGAACCTTGAAGGATGACCTAGAGACACCAGCATTAAACAATGAAACCCTGCAAACCAGCAAAAAGATCCAAAAATACTGGCTCAACTTCTGGTCTAGAATCCTTTGAACCAGAACAATCAGAACCAGGATGACAAGAGAGCTCAGCATGTATTCAGTAGGATGATCTGTTTAGAGGATATATGCATCCTATATATATATATATGTATATATATATATACACACAGCAGAGATATGAACAAATCTAAAACTGTATTTTAAATTTGGAGAAGCAGAGAGTCAAAGAGAGGCGACAAGAAGTAAACAGTAAATTGAGGACTGAGAAAAACTTGAATTGATTTGAGAAGTTTATTGTGTTTCAAAATCTGCAGTGACTATAAAAAGTTAAATAGATATCTACTGAGTTTGTGTGAGAAAATATCTTGTGTCTCGTTCTCACTCTGAATAGATGCAGTCGGCTCTGATGTTCTTAACTTCCTTTTTCACATGTTGACAGCAGGAAGTCGTGTAATACCTATGACTATTCTGTGGATTTAGATGATATTTAGATCTAAACAGGTCTGGATTTGAGCTGCTGCTGGTCAACTAAGCCCCAAAAGGACCATATTTATAAAAGATTTCCTTAATAACTCGGTAAGAACAGAGATCTATGATGTCTTTAATGTGATTGAATGTAACCTGAAATGTAGAAAAATCCACTACTTCCTTATTTGTTGTTGCTTTTTCACTTACAAAAAGGTTTGTTAATTATTTTTTATGTGTGATAAATTCTACAAGTTCCCGTTCTTCTTCTAACATAATAATATGTGGTTTATAGTTAGTATCAGTTTAGATGATCTGCATTGGAAGTTTTTAAAGCAAACATGAGTTTTAATGTCAAACTCTTTCCTTCATCTCGTCTCTGAGCTGATGGAGGGATGTAGCAGTGAGATGGCAGCTTTCTCTCAGAATATGCTGACAGTCAGCGTGTTACTGAGTGTCTTCTTTCTTCCAGGTGAGCTGTTTGTTCTCTCACTGTCATTTGGAGACATTACTGGAAGTATTTCTAGTCTCCAGTATGTCTGATCTTGTTTAGAGTAACAGGCTGCAGCTCAGCTGGAGTTCATGGATCAGGAAGTTTCTCTTCAGGAACATTTTGCTCCACATTGTGTCCATCTTTACTCTGCTTTTTCAGGAGTTCAGACTGGATGTAAAGACAAAGAGCCATCCCTCTTCATTACTGCACCAAAGGAGATGGAAGCTCTGAGTGGATCCTGTTTGCTAATCCCATGTAGCTTTAGAGAAAAACCAGGAGAAAAGTTTGACAACAAGAGAGAAACATTTGGAGTTTGGATTAAAAGTGATTCAGCATTTAGAAACAATCCGAACAACGTGATTTACAACAGCAGTCTGTCACAAAACAGCTACGCAGTGAACATTTCTGGAAACCTGAGAGAGAAGAACTGCACCTCTGTGTTTTTTAATGTAAACTCAAGTCAAACAAAGCGTTACTTCTTCAGGATTGAGAACTGGCTGTTCAGAGGAACAGCTTCCTGTGATCCTGTTAATATAACAGTTAGAGGTGAGAGACTTTGGTTTATATTTATATGTAATATTAATATTGAGAGAAAATTTATTATGATGCCTTTGTGGTATAACAAAAAACTCCATGAACTGAATCATTAGTGTAAAGTTAAACATCAACAGGATCAGAGTTCAGAGTTTTAAAAAAGCAGTTTGTGAACACAAAGTGGATGTTTTACCTAAATTTACTTTTCAATGAGTTCTTACCTTCATATTTATCATCTTTTTATGCTCCACATGTTTAAAGTGGAGTCAGTCTGCTGTATCTCACTGTTTAAAATGTGTGTGTGATGTGAAAACACAGATTCTGGTTGGAGCCCCAGGATTGAAATCTCAGGTGACGTGAAGGAGAAGAACTCTGTCACCGTAACGTGCTCAGCTCTCACTCCCTGTCCATATTCACCTCCTGGACTCACCTTGAACCTCCAGCCAAACCCTCACAGACAGATGGAGAGGAACACAGATGGAACGTTTACAACTACAATCCAGCAGAAAATCACTCTGTCAGACTCAAATGATGTTTCCAACATCACCTGCTCTGCCAGATATCCTGTGAATGGAGGAAAACACAAGACAGCAAATACAGAAGTGACTCTCAGTGTTTCCTGTAAGTGATCCTGTCAGAACATCATGATTCATCTGGTTCTCATCAATAATCTGAAGGTGTGTTGCATTTTCCTCAGATGCTCCTAAAAGCACCTCAGCATTTAACTGGGTGGAGCTGAACTGCTCCAGCAGAGCCAGTCCTCCCATCAGCTGCATCACCTGGTCCAAGAACAGCACTTATAAAGCCATGATAGTAGCTGAAGGAGACGTCAGATTAACCGTCTATGAGGGAGAAGTCGACTTCTCTGGTAAGTTCTCTACTGAAGGTAGCCTGAAGGTTTTGTGGTCAACATTTATTGTTCAACATTCTGTTACAACAATCAAATTTAATGTATGTTGACCTCCGAAATCTTCTGATGTTTGTTAGAGAATATTGTGTAAAAGTTATGTAGTGAACAACCAGCATCATGCAGACCAAGGATCACAGCAGATAGTTCAGGAAGTAAGACATGGAGAAGTTTAAAGTAGGGTGGTGGCAGGATTATCCTGTGGGCCTGCTGATATTCAGCAGGCGAGGTAAGTGGAGCTAAATCCTTTTAGAGGCTGTGAAAGTTGTGAGGCTGTGGTGGAGGTTTACCTTCTAGCTGTTCAACAAACCTCAACATCCTGTTACGATTGAAGGAGGCAGAGACAAGGAAGAGCCAAAATGTGAACGACAGTGTGGAATGTTGAAGATTTATTTAAACTTAAAGACTTGACTTGGACAAAGTACAACATATCATCTCAGGGGGCCGAATATGAACATTCACATCTTTATTTCCAAAAATGTCTCTTCCTCCTCACAGTTTTGAATCATTTTGTGTTGGTTTATCACAAACTCAACAAGTTGGTGTTTGCATTGAGATAAAATGCAAAAATTGCTTTAGCGGTATGAATAGTTTTGCATAGTGCTGTGGTAATGGAAAAATCAGAAATGTAGAAATGCTCTAACATGTTTTCACCTGAGTCAGTTTGTCTCATTTCTGCCTCCTTTCATTTGCTTTAACATCAGCTCTGTCAGAGTGTTTCTTTAGTTTCCGTCAGAACATTTCTTGATATTTGATTTACAAGTTTCTGATCATTGAGGAAAAAAACATTTTCCTCCTCAGAGATGGTCAAATGTTTTCTCTTTTTACAGATAGACAGTTTCAGGATCGTATCTGTATTGGAGTAAAGATCCTGGGTCTTGTGATTCTCTGCTGTTTGACGATCATCGTAGAGTGGTGAGACACTTTCTAAAAGTTCATAATTTGCTGCCATACCACAGTGAGTATTGTTTTAAATATCATTGTGTTCTGCTTTTCTCCTCCATCAGTCGAACTAGATCAGTTTTCACCAACAAACAACAGAAGGTGAGGAAATAATCCAGCAGTTTCCATTTTTCACTGGTATAAAGGGAATATTCAGATTTCTAACTTGTGTTAAAGCAGAAAAGGTGATCCAATACTCTCCTGCTAAGGTCTCCTCGGACATTGGAGCCATTTGTTTTTGGATCACCTGTTGGGTGTACTCTTTTACAGTCTTAAACAGAAGTAGTCTTTAGATCACAGGTGTCAAACTCCAGTCCTTGATGGCAGCTGCCCTGTAACTTTTAGATGTGCTTCTGCTGCACCACCTGAATAGAATAATTAGGTCATTAGCAAGGCTCTGGAGAACTGATCTACACAAGAAGGAGGTAATTAAGCCATTTCATTGCAGTGTTTTTGTGCCTGTGGCACATCTAAAAACTGCAGCCCTTGAGGACTAGAGTTTGACACCCCTGCTAACCCTGGTGCTTATTGTATGTTCTTTCATTAAAATGATTTATAGAAAATGGATTCTGATAGAGAGGAGCAAACCAGCTGAGATGGTGGGGCGCTCTTCTTTGCAGTTTTATTTCTGTTTTTATTGCAATGCTGAAACAGAAGTGACCTCATGCACTGCAGCCGTCTTGTTACAGCAGGAAGTCACATGTTTTCTAGGTTTGGCTCTGCAGTAAATTCACACCGGGACCTTTCTGCTGTCTCATTTCCACAGGACACAGAAGAAGCAGATGACGACAACAGAGTGACTGAGATCTGAGCTTCATGAGACCAGGAGAGACGACCCGTTCACTGTTCACACACCCGTACTTACTACATTCTGATCTCTGTTTACATTGCACAGCTGTTCTCACTTTCAGAAGTCTTTATTATTTCCTACACACAGGTCTAATCCTAATATTGGTCTACATATTTAAAATCTGAGTTCAACTGAAATGTTTGAGAGTCAATTAGAAATATTTCCTCATTATATTCTAGCTGTCAGACTCAAAGTGTCTCAGTCTGTGGTGTTTATGTGAAATATTAAATGTTTTAGGAAGATGAGGTCACAGAATGTTTTTCTTTTATAGCTAAAACTTAGCAGCAATAAATGAGCAGGGAATATTTTGCATATTACCTGTTGCATGTAGAGCACAGCTGGGCTAACCTCGTTAAACATACGATTCTAACAGCTCACTGTCGGAATGTACAGTCCCACATTGTTTAATGTAAGATCTTAGCTTTTCTACTCCATTTGTATTCCGTGCTTTAATAAACTCTCAATTTGGCATGAAAACATTGGTTTCTCCATGAATGTACATTATTGTTACCAGACTGATCTCTTAGGGGCGACCTGTCCAGGGTGTACCCCACCTCTCACTCCAAAACATTCGCTGGAGATAGGCACCAGCACCCCTCCCGACCCCACTAGGGACAAAGGTGATGGATGGATGATCTCATAGGGTAGGGGTGTGGACTCATTTTCATTTTGGGTCATCGTCCTTGACGATTCTTCCATGGAAATTCCATCCCGCCAGAGAAAATCTTCACCTTAATGGGAGGAACAGAATTAATGGTGTCTGGAAAGTCTTTGAAGCAAAAGAGGGAAAAAAAATGACTGAAATAATATTAAACAATGTGACATTTATTCTGTGTAACTCAAATGAAAAACAAACTGTGTTGGAAGTAATAAGAAGTTGAAGTGACCCTGACTTAGTAATATTGCCCACAATGCCCTGCAAACATTTTATTGGAGGATAACTATTGTCCTCTTCTGGTGAATAGACCTTTACTTTCTGTCAGATTTATCTGATGGACTCACATCATCTTCAGATGATCAAGTTTCATTCAAATATGAATGAAAGGTAATGTCTGTGAAGTTAACCAATAATGATTCAACTTCAGCTAGGTATTTCCCTCTAAAGGTCCCCACATACTCACCATACTCTGTTACCGATATTGTCTGTGGAAAGTTGAGACTTCATAGTCGAACTTACTGACTGAGTGCCTATAATTCTCTGACCACAAATTCCTTAATTTCCCACAATCTTAGCAGATACTAGCAGGTTTGTTGAGCTATTTGGGCGCTCAGCCCTGTTTCCTCTTCATCAGAAAAGTCTCCACACACCTGTCAGTCTCTGGGACAGAGAGCAGCAATCATGCTGCACGTCCTCGCAACTGGCGGCGCTGACTCTCGACCTTATCAGCTCGGTGTCACATGCAAAACGGTTCGACGTGAACACTGTACTCCGCTGAGCAGCTCACTGTAGGACATCGAGGGTGCGTTCACACTGCAGCCTGAAGTGACCCAATTCTGATTTTTTGGCAATTCCGATTTTTTTGCCGGGGCCGTTCACACTGCCAGTAAATGCGACCTGTATGCGTTCTGCAGTGTAAACAGGCAAACAACCTGAAAGTGTCCCGCATGCGCAGTAGAGGGCGCCATAGCGTCAGCGTTCTCAGTGTTCTGCCAACTGCCATAAAAAGAAGAAGTGCTCAGTGTTTGCGGAAGTAAACATGGAGGCTAACGGTGGAGCTTAGCTTACATATTTGAAGTTGTTGTCCGGCCAGAGCAACATATTAACAACTTAATCCTCATTATAGTCCGTCATGGTTGTTGTTTTTCTTCCTGCTTGCGCGTATCAGGACGCAGAATAGTGAGATTTGTTGAGAATCAGTGACGTTCAGTTCGGATGAATGCGACCTAGGGGTGCGTTTACACTGCAGCCTGAAGTGACCCAATTCCAATTTTTTTGACCTAATGCGACCTGTATCTGATCTTTTCATGGCAGTATGAACAGCACAGGTCGGATTCTTTTTCGAATGTGACCCATATCCGATACGTATCCGATTCAAATGCGCCCTAGCGTCATATATATATATATATATATATATATATATATATATATATATATATATATATATATATATATATTTTGTATATATATATATTTTTTTTTTTTATATG